AACTAGTTGTACAGTTCAAAGAAATACAGAATGACTGAATCCATTGAATTAAGAATATCATTAAGTGATAGAGATGGCATCCTTGCAATTGTATGCTCCAAAAAAACTGTAAAAAAAGAGCTTGTCTTACATAACTCAAATTATACCAAATTGTAAGTTAATTTCATTTTGCCCTATTTGTACAACATATACATAATTGCATTGCATTACGTGTTGGGTGATGGCAACTGGATCTTTGTAACCAGAAAAATAAATTGTTGGTTTAGAAGTAAAAAATTTGAAAATCTACCAAAATAATTTAGTCAAATTCTAATCAACTCAACCTTTAAACTTAACATAAAACTTGATGATTTCAAGGTTTAGTTTGAATATAAAAAATGCCTTTACAATTTCTGATGATGAATAATTTAAATTGTACACTTTACAACTAACAATACTAAAACAAATTAAAGTATGATACAATATATATAAGTAAAAAAATGCTTTAAGTCGCAAGAAAAATAAAGTATAACTAATTATATATATTTTTATACATATATATCTGCGTATATGATTTATAGATCAATATTAAAATTAATATTAATAAAATGACCTCGACTAGGCAAATAGATGCTGCTTTTTCCAAGTATCACAGAAAAATAGCCATTTTCAGCAAAATTTTAAGGTAACCTTATCACAACTGGTTGAATTTATCAAACGTTGCAACGTTCAAATTCAAAATCAGTTCTATAAGAACCAAAATATATCTAAAAAAAATAAAATTAAAACAAGAAAAAGTAGAATCATTAAAACTAAGCAGAGTTACCTCCCTTGCACCTATAACTTGTATAATATATTGATGTATCATGAAAAAATATCAGTTTTTTAAAAAATTTCCCTCTAAAATATACTTTTACTGTACAACCTCAAAAGATAAAAATAATTAATCTTGACATAAAATATTGAGATTCTTATAGAAAATTTGAACAGCTGTGTTGATCCACATACAAACTAAAATACAAACTGTTAGGATATAACATTATTTTGAAATGACAAGATAAAATCTGAAGACTCAAATACAAATTCTGTTATCCCTTAACTGTAAAACTTAAAAATAATATTGAATAAAAATTCTGCATTTATAAAGACAAACAAAAACTTACACAAAATGTGAACAAATATCAAATCTTTATTCTACAATTAATATTAAGGTAATAAATTAGGCCTTGATTTTTCAAGAAAAACTTGTGTACAGGTTTCTATCAAATCCAGTCAGTCTAAATATGTCATAAATTGTCGAATATATAATTTCTTACATTTAGTTATATGATAACCAAAAACTAACAAATTTATGTTTAGCTACTGTGGATTCATTTATTTTCGTGGGTATCAATTTTCGTGGATTGAGGAAAACTTGCATTTTCGTGGATATTTGATTTCGTGGTTTTACCAATTTCTGCATACAAAGCCAATAGAAAATTTGTAATTCGTTGAACATTTGAATTCGTGGTTCACCTGTACCCACGAAACCCACGAAAATTGGTATCCAATGAATAATAATGAATCCACAGTATTAAGAGTCATCAGACTGCTATAACCAGGATTACCTTAAACATTGGAAATCAAAATAATCTGACATAAGGTTGCAGTTAAGTAAAAAGACAATGTTTCAAAATTTTATATGTGAAACAGATTCAAAATTTGCTAACTTTTACTATGCTTAGTACCAAATATTAATCTGTTTTTCTTTAAAATTAAAAAAAATGTTACAGAAAATATTAGAGACAGCGTAATAATGTACACATGACGGACAAAGGTAAATCAGTATACTAGTTCAGAACAGTAATGTTTCTAAAATCTACAAGCAAACCACAAAAAAACTAACTCTTTAAGGTAGATCGGGTGTTTTTTTCTGAGCATCCCTTCTGGGCATGTTGCAAAAATACTTTTTTGTTTTAAAAATATTTTACCAAGTATCATTCAATATACAATAAAAATAACTTGAAATTTAAAGATTAAACTATCAAAAAAATAAAAGTTGTAAGGTGTATTCAAAAATTTTCAGAAAAAAATCCTTTTAAAATCATGGGCAGATAATTATACTGAATTTGATAGGACAATTTGTGCTCTTTTGGTTTTTCAAGAAAATAAGGCCCATGACCCTTATTTTTATTTGATATTTCAGAAGTATCAAAGAAATTCTCTTATTAAAGTTTAGCCAATTCTAATGTTTAATGTTTCCTCAATAAGGAAAAATTAAGTTTCCCCTGTATAACCAATATAAAATAACCCTGATTTCGTTAATCTCAATGTATTTTAACTAAAAACCAAGGTCCTTAATCCCCCATTTTTATATTGAAATTTGAAAGAATAATGACCCAGAAGTCTTTTACAGAAGTTTAAGAAAAATTTATCATTGAACATTTAGACACCCCAGCTACCTTAACTTTTAACTATTACATAACCATTATACAATTAATTAACAATACTATCAATTATAAAACTACCAGAAATAAGTATGATAACAAAGGGGGAAGTACATAGTAATTAGACTGAAGTACATACTTTATACATTCTATTTCAGACAAAAATTATTTGTTAGTAAACAAATTTTAATACAAAAACTTCAAAAGTAACAAAAAAATGGCACATTAGCATAATATAATATATTCTTAAACACCAAAATAAATACACGTACCATAAATTCATTCTCATTTTAGCAATGTTAGTAAACAAAAAATTACAACAAATATGTTAAAAGTTTATTCCTGTACACAAGATGGAAAATACAAACAATTCTTTACAAACAGCAAATAAAATACCATAATACGCTACTGTGACCTCTTAAGACATTTTATAGAATTAGTACTCTTTGGAATCTGTATTGGTCACCAGGCTTTAGTTGTTCACATTCTCTTTTTGTTCTATGGATAATTGTCTCCAAGGCGATTATACAACATCTTCTAAATTTCATATTCTATGTTGTATTATCTCCATATCCTTACCAAATCCCTTTAGCAGAGGAAACATGACTTTATGGTAGGAATGTAGGAATGCACTGTTATGAAAAATTAAATTACAATAAAAACACTGCTTTTACTTACAATAGAAAAGGCCCTATGAAATGATTTGACTTTTTTTAAAGGGGTCATATTAGAGGAAATCTACTGGATTCAAACCTGTATATGAAAGTCAACTTCAGGACCAGAGAAAATTGACTTTATAACCTTTGAATTAAAGTTCAAAACGCATAGGTATTGTTATTTTTTTAAATAATTCAAAAATATTTTTTAGGATAGGCAACTTAGTAGAAGGCAAACAAATATCATTAAATATAATTAAAGATCAGCTTGTACATTAATTACAAATCATATACTAATGTTTTATCCCAATATCAAAATGTAAAATTGTGGTGGTGATCATGTTGGTTGGACCTTAGGGAAATTAAAAAAAAAAATTTCATTAAAAGTAGACTTTCTAATAATGAATAAAATTTTGAAACTAATAAACCCAGCTTTACAGTGGTTTTCAGAGTGAAGATTTTTCTACAGAAGCTTCTGTATCGTTGCCATAACCGTTTCCTACTAATACCACTCCATTTTTTATAACTATATATTTTATTCTATATAGATGGCTATTGACTCTTCTATAAAGAGGTTTGAAATGATAGATGATAACTCCAAAGTATTTTGATGACCTGTTGGGTTACTTAAAAACATTTTGACTAAGATTTGATGAAGAATCATTAACAACACCACTTTTTTGGAAATTTAAAGATGATGAATGACAGGGATTAGATATAAAGTGGTGATAAGAGTGTCCACAATCCTCAATAAAATGCTCCGCAGGGCGCAGCTTGATACGACCGCAGAGGTCGAACCCTGAACAGTTGGGGGAAGTATAGACACAACATTCAAGCTTGATACAGCTTTGGATTTGGATTGTGATTAAATATTTGACACAGCATAGGTTTCTAACACAGATTGAATGTGGTCTAAGAATTTAAAAATTTTAAATTGGACATTCACCTATTATGGTCCAATATCCAAAATCTAAATACATGGTTAGATTCAGCATATCAAAGAACCCCAAGAATTCAATTTTTGATGAAATCAAACAAAGTTTAATTTTGGACCCTTTTGACCTCAATGTGGACAAAGTTGATAACGGGGCCCAAAAATCAAAAATCTAAATACATGGTTAGATTCAGCATATCAAAGAACCCCATATATTCAATTTTTGTTGAAATCAAACAAAGTTTAATTTTGGACCCCGATTTGGACCAACTTGAAAACTGGGCCCATAATCAAAAATCTAAATACATGTTAAGATTCAGCATATCAAAGAACCCTAAGAATTCAATTTTTGTTAAAATCAAACTAAGTTTAATTTTGGACCCTTTGGACCTTAATGTAGACCAATTTGAAAACGGAACCAAAAATTAAGAATCTAAATACACGGTTAGATTCGGCATATCAAAGAACCCCAATAATTCAATTTTTGATGAAATCAAACAAAGTTTAATTTTGGACCCTTTTGACCTCAATGTGGACAAAGTTGATAACGGGGCCCAAAAATCAAAAATCTAAATACATGGTTAGATTCAGCATATCAAAGAACCCCATATATTCAATTTTTGTTGAAATCAAACAAAGTTTAATTTTGGACCCGGATTTGGACCAACTTGAAAACTGGGCCCATAATCAAAAATCTAAATACATGTTTAGATTCAGCATATCAAAGAACCCTAAGAATTCAATTTTTGTTAAAATCAAACTAAGTTTAATTTTGGACCCTTTGGACCTTAATGTAGACCAATTTGAAAACGGAACCAAAATTTAAGAATCTAAATACACAGTTAGATTCGGCATATCAAAGAACCCCAATAATTCAATTTTTGATGAAATCAAACAAAGTTTAATTTTGGACCCTTTGGACCTCAATGTGGACCAATTTAAAAACGGGGCCCAAAATCCAAAAACTAAATACACGGTTAGATTCAGCATATTAAAGAACTCCATGAAATCAAGAATAAAACCCCATTGAAATTGGTCAAGAAATAAGCAATTTATAGGAAGTATCTTCTTTTGCACAATCCTGTGCTATTAAATATTTCTTGCTATTGCGCAATACTGTACAATTGACAATTTCTTGCTATTGCGCAATATTGTGCTATTGGATATTTCTTGCTATTGCGCAATACTGTGCAATTGAAGATTTCTTGCTATTGCGCAATACTGTGCAATTGAAGATTTCTTGCTATTGTGCAATACTGTGCAATTGAAAATTTCTTGCTATTGCACAATACTTATTATATAATAATTTACACATCCTGTTTGGTGTGTATCTCCTACCATATCATTATTATTTGATTTTAAATATAAATCAGAAATAACCAACTTAAAATGGAAAATTTTAAAAGAAACAAAAAAGGAAAAAAAGAAAAAAAAGGAAAAAAAAATAAATCCCCCCCCAAAATTTTTTGAACCCCCATTATGATTCATCACCCCCAAACTCAATCCCAGCCTTCCCTTTGTGGTATGGTACCTTGCAGTACAATTTCAGAGAGATCCATACACTTGAACACAAGTTATTGTCTGGAAACTAGAAAAAAATGTGTTTTTTGGCCTCTTTTTGGCCCCAAATTCCTAAACGTTTAGGGCAATTACCCCCAAACTCAAACCCAGCTTTCCCTTTGTGATATGGAACCTTGTAGTACAATTTCAGAAAGATCCATACACTTACACACAAGTTATTGTCATGAAACTAGAAAAATGCTTGTTTTTTGCCCCTTTTTTGGCCCCTAATTCCTAAAATTTGGAGGCAATTACCCCCAAAATCAATCCCAGCATTCCTTTAGTGATATGGAACCTTGTGGTACAATGTCAGAGAGATCCATACACTAACACACAAGTTATGTCTGGAAGTTACAAAAATGCTTATTTTTGGCCCCTAATTCCTTTACTGTTATTACCATAACCCCCAAAATCAATCCCAACCTTCCTTTTGTGGTATTGAACCTTGTGGTAAAATTTCATAAAGATCCATTCACTTAAACTAAAGTTAGAGTGCGAAAACCAATGTGTCTTCGGACGACGCCGGACGACGCCGGACGACGCCGCCAACGTCATACCAATATACGACCACAAAATTTTTTTTGCGGTCGTATAAAAAGTGATTTTTTTCATTAAAATTCTATACATATAACAAACATGAATAAAAAATTGTACTGTACCATTCACATACTCAAAGTCATAAATATCTAGGTGTCTCTAATAATTCTTTAAGGTAGTGTTTATTTTGGTTTATAAATACAATTTCTGAACTTAAACACAGCTGCATGTTTAAAAAAAATCAAGACAATTGGAACACATGGTAGTCATTTCATCTTTAAGTTAAAAGTAAAAATGGATCTAGCCATTAAGGGAGTTGTTACACTTTCACATTGTATTGTCATTTTTGATATTTTTAAATATGTTGTAGCTAGAGATGATATTTTTGAAAAATCATGAAATAAAATATAGGTTACAGTGCTTGTTTTTAAGAAAAATTGGACTCAAAATTGAGAATTTTTATAATTTTGGTGAAATTTTCTTACAACTTGAAAATATTCTAAAACTGGTTATATTTGGAAATAAAATAGCCAAACTGGTGTGATTTAGAGCTGATGTATATGCATCAGTGGAAAATAACACTACATATTGATATTATTTTCATTTTTGCAGTTTTATTTTCATTCAAAACTTGATTAAATTTTGACTTTCTCACAAAAATATGTTAGATTTTTTGCCCTTTATTCTACAGGGTATTAAACGGTTCTTGTTTTGTAATATTCTAAAAAATTTTAATTAGTTGGTTTTCATTGTGCATTTTGTAATAAATACATAAAAAGAATATGTTGCCATGCTTAATTTATAGAAACCTCTAGATACTCCATTAAAAAGAGTTTTCCCAATGATCTATTTGCCAATTCCATAATTGACCCTTTAAGTAGAAATCCATGAGTATGAGTCATTTCCCTTAGTAGGTACATAATCTTCATTGACATTAAAAACTAGTGGAAAGAGCAAGTTTATCTGCACTTAACATTTCAAATTTTTTATTACAATTAATCTTATTTTAAACTAAAAACTTTTGATATCAATCCATATTTTTCATTAAAATTTGGTTAAGACTTCAAAATATCACTTTCCACCTATCATACTTTGGTTTAGAACTAATCTACAATTGTCAAAGAGAAACAACTGATGTTTTAATAATACAATCATAATTGTAATTGGCAACTAGACTATTGTTGTCTGATATTTTGCAGAAAACTGTTTATCCAACAATCAGAAAAAATATCTTTTCCCAAAAAAGTTCGAAATGTAGTGAAAAATAAGCAGTAATGCTGACAAAAAAACCCAAATATTTCTTTCTGTTTCATTTGAAAGCTCTGAAACATTTCTTACTGTGAATAGAACCTGTTTTTGCAATGTAATCATATAAAAAAAAGGGGACATTGAATGATCATTATCACATTAGCAGTTGAAACTGTATCCACCCCCCTCCCTTTCCCTACTCCCCCTTCCCCTTTTAGTTAAAATCTGACAATTGAATACTTGTTTATACTGAAGTATGATGATAAATATTTGTATGAAACGAACAATTTTCACTTTATCACAGATTTAAGCTTCATGTATAGGGTTGTGTTAGGAGTTAGTTTAATTCTCTTCATCAGATTGCTTTGATTCCTTCTTCTTTCTTTTCTTTTTTTTCTTTTTCTCAGAAGTGGAATCAACTAAAGGTTCCAGTTGAATACCACCCTTCTCTAGTTGATCATCTGGAGTCCTCTTTGGCAATGGTCTTGGAGAGTCAGAAGGCCGACTTATAGAGGGGAGCGGACGTGGCTTATATATTTCAGTTTCAGTAGAATACTCTGCTCTCCCAGTGTTGTCTGTCTTTAGATGCTGAGCCCTGGATGGTTGTGGTCTGGATGGTTGTGGTCTGGATAAAAATATGTCAACATTAAATTCTGTTTTCTGAGTTTCTAATAATTTCTAAAACTTGCATTTATAAATGTAATATGCAATGGCACTAAATTACATGAAAAAAAAATCTTCAGATTTTCTAATAGTCACCATTCAATGGATTGTTATGAAATATTGTGACAATCTTTGCTATTAGATGATATCAGATTATTACAGCAGTCTATCCATACTGACTGGAAGTAAATGTGACTTGAGAATCTTGCTGGGGAATTATTATTGGCTAGCCAAGTATGCCTAAATGTCTGTTTTTACCGATTTCTGACAAAACGGTGACCTAGATTTTACAGACCAGATTTCTTTTGGCCATATTATACCTCCTTGTGTTCCTGTACCATCTATGCATGTATTTATGATACTAGTTGATACCTACAGCCCATACCAGTAACGAAGTGGTTATAAAAAGACTCCCACCCCACCTGATTTTGGCTACTTTTCACGTTTTTCCGATTTTGAACTCTAAAAAGGCCATTAAAGTTGCCATATTTTCATAATCACACATCTGAGAAGAGTTTATGGACCATGAATTGTATGGTTGAAGTCCCTGCTGTAATGACAGTTGAGCTGGGGCAGTTCTACGAAAGTATGGAGGGTCATAGAGGCCATCAAAGAGTGGTGGTTGCCATCACGACTACAGGCGGGATTGGGGGCGAAGGGGTTAATATAAAAGAACAGAGTTCAAAAGTTCCCCGCGTTGCACATATTTTATATTTCCAAGGGGCATAACTCTTTTAAAAAAAGTCGATCGTCCACCATTATAGAACTTGTCCAAGATATTGCTGATATTAACCTATAGTATAAGTTTTATAAAAATCTGGCAAGAATTGTACCTGTGAGAGTGCTAACAAGACCCGACGGACAGACACACAGACGGACGGACGGATGCCCGGTATTTCCATGTCCCCCGCAACGTGTTACGAGGGGGACAATAACAATATATTAAAGTATATAGGTAATTTTTGTTCAGAGACAAGTGCCTGTGACATTATGTATAAAGATAATGTCAGAGTCTGGGGTGATTTAAAGCTTGACACATTGTATTGACACTTTGTCTTTTGTTAAACATTTATCAATAGCCTCTTTATGTCTTTTTCTGTCATTGGGTTGCTGTGTTATTTATATTTCCTAACATCTCCTTTTATTTATATCAGAAATGAGTTTCATAATTACAGCCTATTGAAATTTACCAGTATGACTGACCCATGGATGGTTAATTGTATCCTGTAGAGTCACATTATTAATGTGTATGAAGGTAAAGTTTTTTCTCAGCGATTAAGAGCTTGTCTATTGTTGGAAGACTGTATATTGACCTCTGCATGTCTTTTGATTGTTGTGCTGTTTGGTTGCTCATTGTACTCATTGATGTATACCCTAAATCTTCTTTTATTCATAGTAAACACATAGTTTCCACTCAAATATATATTTTCAATTTTTCAATTTTTAATTTTTGAATGCAACAGACATGTTGTGCTGTTTGTTTGCAGACTCATTGATGTATACTCATAATCTCCTTTTATTCATACTGTGGATTCATTATTATTCGTTGGCTATCAGTTTTCGTGGATTTCGTAGTTACCCTTGAACCACGAATTCCACTGTACAACGAATTACAAATTTTCTATAAGAATGTTTGCAGACTTTGGCAAAACCATGAAATCAAATATCCACGAAAAAGCAAAGTTTCCTCAATCCATGAAAATTAATACCTACGAAAATAAATGAATCCACAGTAGTTGACACATAATTTCCATCCATTGATTTTTAATTTTTGAATGTAACAGGCCTGCTATAAAGTGCCCACTAGTTTAAAATCATGATATCAGACTGTTCGTGACCTGATTTATATAAGATCCATCCTATTTTGATGGGTAATAAAATGCTCCAATGGGCGCAGCTTGATACGACCGCAGAGGTCGAACCCTGAACAGTTGGGGCAAGTATGGACACAACATTCAAGCTTGATACAGCACTGAATTTGGATTGTGATTAAATATTTGACACAGCACAGGTTTCTGACACAGAATGAATGTCGTCTAAGAACTTAAAAAATTTTAATTTACCTATTCAAACCATAGCATTATTATTTGCTTTTATATATAAATCAGAAATAACCAATTTAAAATAGAAAATTTTAAAGAAAAAAAAAAGAACCCCCTTATGATTCATCACCCGAAACTCAATCCCAGCCTTCCCTTTGTGGTATGGTACCTGCAGTACAATTTCAGAGAGATCCATACACTTGAACACAAGTTATTGTCTGGAAACTAGAAAAGTGCTTGTTTTTGGCCCCAAATTCCTAAACGTTTAGGGCAATTACCCCCAAACTCAAACCCAGTTTTCCCTTTGTGATATGGAACCTTGTAGTACAATTTCATAAAGATCCATACACTTACACACAAGTTATTGTCCTGAAACTAGAAAAATGCTTGTTTTTAGCCCCTTTTTTGGCCCCTAATTCCTAAATATTTTAAGCAATTACCCCCAAAATCAATCCCAGCCTTCCCTTTGTGGTATGGTACCTTGCAGTACAATTTCAGAGAGATCCATACACTTGAACACAAGTTATTGTCGGGAAACTAGAAAAATGCTTATTTTTGGCCCCTTATTCCTAAACGTTTTGGGCAATTACCCCCAAACTCAATTCAAGCTTTCCCTTTGTGATATGGAACCTTGTAGTACAATTTCAGAAAGATCCATACACTTACACACAAGTTATTGTCATGAAACTAGAAAAATGCTTGTTTTTTGCCCCTTTTTTGGCCCCTAATTCCTAATATTTTGAGGCAATTACCCCCAAAATCAATCCCAGCATTCCCTGTGTGATATGGAACCTTGTGGTACAATGTCAGAGAGATCCATACACTTAACACACAAGTTATGTCTGGAAGTTACAAAAATGCTTATTTTTGGCCCCTTTTTGGCCCCTCATTCCTTAACTGTTGGTACCATAACCCACAAAATCAATCCCCAGCTTCCTTTTGTGGTATTGAACCTTATGGTAAAATTTCATAGAGATCCATTCACTTAAACTAAAGTCAGAGTGCGAAAACCAATGTGTCTTCGGAAGACGACGACGCCAACGTCATACCAATATACGACCACAAAAATCTTTTGCGGTCGTATAATAATGGCACTGTGTTTTGGTGAAGATTGAATGAAAATGTGAACATCTTCACTGCAAATAATTTTTTCCATAGTTCAAGGTGAAATGCCAAAAAGAAGATAATTTGCATTATTTAGTTATATTATATATCTAATTTTAAACCTACTCCTTTTACTAGAATCTATTTCACTGGAAATCAACAACATATACTGTACTTTAGACGACCATAAAGATAAATTCTTAAATTTACATAACTATTTGATCTTTAGAAAGCAATATCTGTTCCCAGGCAAGAAAAGATATTGCCTTGTCTAAAAATGTTGTTTTCCAAAATGAAAGACACCAGAAAGGGATGACATCAGAACCACCACAGTGCTTTAATAAACTTGATATTTCCAGATCTTAATCAATACAAAAAAAAATTTTACAAACGAAATAAACATATTTCTCTGATGTATACGTTACATGTAGCAGCAGTATGTCTTAAATAACACAACAATATAAAAAAGAAGATGTGGTATGATTGCCAATGAGACAACTCTCCACAAGAGACCAAATGACACAGAAATTAACAGCTATAGGTCACCGTACGGCCTTCAACTATGAGCAAAGCCCATACCGCATAGTCAGCTATAAAAGGCCCCGAAATCGCAAATGTAAAACAATTCAAACGAGAAAACTAACAGCCTAATTAATGTACAAAAAAATGAACGAAAAACAAATATGTAACACAGCAACAAACGGCAACCACTGAATTACAGGCTCCTGACTTTGGACAGGCACATACATACAGAATGTGGCGGGGTTAAACATGTTAGCGGGGTCTTAACCCTCCCCCTAACCTGGGACAGTGGTGTAACAGTACAACAGTCCATTGTTCCATAAACAATCAGGTGACAGAAACTGGTCACATACTGTAACTGGGCTCCATAAGTACAATTTGAAAAAAAATATTGGAAACAGAACAAAAGGATCTAAAGAGCCTGTGTTGCTCACCTGTATTTTCATCAATAGCCTCTTTTTAGTAAAAATCATCATTAAAGGGGAATGACTCTATTAAGAGTTTACGGACAATTTCAGTCATTTTGATGTATTTGTAGATCTTATTCTGCTGAAAATGTTTCCTTTTAAGATTTTCTATTTATCTACCATAGTTTTCAAGATAAAAGGCAAAAATTGCATAAAAATGTTAAAATTATTATTAAAGATCAATAACTCAAACAACGAGTCAACTGAAGATTTCAGCCATTTGGCTTATTTGTAGAGCTTGCCTTGCTGATCATTTGTGCTAATTAAAGTTTCTATCTATCTATTGTAGTTTGTAAGATATTAGGCAAAAACAGATAAAATAGTAAAAATCAACATTAATTGGCAAGAACTTCAATAAGTAGTCGACTGAAGATTTCCGCAATTTGACTTATTTGTAGATCCTGTTGTGCTGCTCATTTTTGCTTTTTAAACTTTCTGTCCATCTATTATAATTTTTGAAAATAACAGGCAAACATTTTTAAAAATGGTCAAATTTGTCATTTAAGGGCAATAACTCCTATAAGAAGTCGTCCGAAAGTTTTAGTGTAAAACGACAATAGGTAGAACCCAATATTTTGAATATTTTTTCACCCCTTCAGATTTTCTCTATTCATAGAGGTTTTCAAAGTAATAGGCAAAACTTGCATTTTACCCCTATGTTCTATTCTTAGCCATGTGGGCATCTTGGTTGGCAGGTGGGGTCATCAGACACATTTTTAAACTATAGTTACCCCAATGATGATTGTGATCAAGTTTGGTTAAATTTGGCCCAGTAGTTTCAGAGAAAATTTTTGTAAAAGTTAACAGACGCCATGCAAGTGATGAGAAAAGTTCACTTGGCCCTTCGGGCAAGGTGAGCTAAAAGTAAGTCCCAGATATAAAAGCAGATTCCTATGACTTTTTTTGTGGTAGATATAAGTACCTCACTACTTCAGTAGGCTTCCTATCCTTCTTTTTATTAGCTCTTTCTTTCTCTGGAGACCTGAAAATATTGAAATCAATCTTAATTTCAAATGAAAATAAGAATCAAAATAATCAAAGAAGGACAGACAAACATAATATCAAATGGAAAAGGAAACATTGAAAACAATGAAAGCCTTACAGTGACCTATAGTGGTTTACATCCTTGTCCTATGGTCTCTGGTGACCAGTTGTGTATTGGCAATCATACCACATCTCCTTATTTTATAAAAGTAAACAATATGTACACTGAAAAATAAAAATTGAGCCATACAAGAGAGAATGAACTCAAGAAGTAAATGTAGTCCTGCTCCAAATCAAAATGACAAAAATAAAAATTCTGAAATGAAGACTTCAGCTTATAACCATTTAGGAACTCTTAGTTCAGTAGTGTTCATGCAAATATCAACCCTCTATCAAGAAATCCGAGTAGAAAACACAAAGTTCTAAATGATTCTATCAACTGAGAGACATATACCGGGGTACACTTCAAATGTAAGTAATCCTGAAATGTTGCTACATATAACAGGAAAGTTCAAAATGAAAAAAAATATGATTATTCTTTTGTTTTCAAATGTATGTTATTGGTAAGCTTATATGTGCACTTTTTTACATTCTATTGTCTGATTTCACATTGTTTGGTATCTCCTTTCAATCAAAAGAAAGAGTCAAGATATAAATTAGTGCTTAGTAGCTCACACTACATCTTTTATTGTTTCTATGAACTAGGGATTTTGGTGTCTATGATCTATCATGACTGATCTTTTATAGTCTCTGTTAAATGTATTCTATTCTAGACTCAAGTTGATTTAGAGCTTGACAAGTATTATGGACACTTTTCTCTTGTTGAAGACCACATGTTTACCTATAGACAGCTTTTGATTCTTTGTGTCCTTGGGTTGCTGTCTCAATGAAGTACTTACAATCCACATCTCTTTATATTTATAGTTAACAAATAATTACAATCCAGTAATTTCTTAATTTTTTGAAAATTTCATATTTTCATATTTTACATACAGTTTTTTTTTTTTTACTTATAATAATATTTCACTTTTGAAACATACATTCTAAAAAAAAATTGGAAAATATAGCCATTATAGAAAGTACTAGCAAGTTAACATCTATGCCAAGCTACATCAAACAAGCAGATGTGAATTTAAAGTTATTTTGTAAAATCAAACTGAAGTTTCTGAAAAAACCTAATTCCTTAAAACATGAAAAAAATCACAATATACATTGCCTTAATTACATGTAATATAAAGTAAAGCTAAACAACATGTGATTACAAAATGTATTACATGTATTCAGAGCAAAACTACAAATTTTCTTGCAAATGTTCAGTTGCATTCCACTTTTAATAATAAAAGGTTTTTAAATTGAAGTTTGTAGATGACATGAAAACATTGGTATCTGCTGTCTACATTACAGACTACAGTAACTTAAAAAAAACATTTCTTTTAAATTAATTAGAAATTTTCAAACGCACATTTTATGAAGTATATCTGAACAGAAACTTTTTTTTAATTTGTAAAAATGATGAAGAATTGAAATACTCTGTTTTTGGCTGCAAATGAATATGTCTCCAGTTCATCAATTGAAATGACTGAGGTAAAGGAAAGTCACAGCAAATATATTCCAGTACCAAATTTGCATTTTTGTTAGTATGTGTCGTGATTGGTCTGTTGCTCTTTGTACAATTTTACAGTAATGTATGTTCTAAAATTATTTCATTATTCCAGAGAAATTTTCAAATATAGAGTTACACAAATATATCTACAAGAGTGCACACACTGAAATGTCTAGCCTGCTTTACTGATCATGATTGAATTATGTTAAATGTCTTTAAGATCAAGGTTTTACCACAAGTATCACATTAATGTAACATTATGGATGATCCAATCTCAGAAATTAAACCAAGAAAACTTAACATTGAACCACTAAAATGGGGTCAATGTCAGACGAACACTGCCAGGCGGACATGTACACCTCACAATTATTCTAATTAACCTATTGCTTATAGTTCAGACCTTACCACAAATCAAGTGCCTGTGATCACTGAAAGGTAAACAATGCATTCATTTTGCAGTGGGAACTAAATTTGTTTTAAATAGTGGTTGGTTTAACAACAGTTATGGACAATTTAGGAAGAGAAGTCCAATTTTAAATATTACTTTAACAATGACTTCATTGATATTTTTAGAACAGATACCAGATTCTTGTACCATACACTATCTATGTAATTTTCTTGGCAATTATGGTTATATACACCATTTTGTAACTAAAATATCTAAGTATATGTTTCATTGATAAATTTCTTGAAATGTTCATGGATGGGATGTATATATATATATAGATTCTACCACTGTATCGAGTGTGATAATATATTTATCCACTCAAGACAGTTAAATTTTCAAATTTAAAACGTAAGGCTCGCTGAGCCTTTTCTATATTTAAAATTTAACTGTCGAGTGTGGATAAATATCGTATTGCACAAGATTTGGTGGTCTAATGATTTTTAAACAATATGCAGACAAACTCAATCCTTCTTTCGAATGATATGCAAAAAGATGTGTTCTTTTTATGTGACGTCATCGGGCATGGTCGCCTTTTGCATGACGTCACAATAGGAAGTTCAGAGAAAATCAGGAAAATTTGACGTTATAATTCAATTTTGACCAAAGAAGAACTGAGATCGAAGGAACCACATGTTGATTAAATAAAAATAATCAATAGGTCAGTAGAAGGATAAATCGTGTAAGAATTAGAGAAAATATTGTGCTCAATGCACTATGTTTTTTGTATTTTTATCTCAAAAGTATTGATAAGGTTTTAAAAATTGATAACTATCAAGCCAAACACTGATAAGCATCTCTCTCATTCTTTAATGAAAGTCACAGGCAGGACAAAAAATACTAACTATTTGATCTGAGGGTTAACAGTCATTTACAATGGTAGGCAACACATAGTCTTGACATGAGTCAAGGTCACATAAAAGAAATGTCAATATGCAACATTGCTTTATGGTAATAAACTTTCATACCAAATATCATGTTTATGTCCCAAAACAAGGAATTATTGCCCAGACAAGTTTGTATGAGAACAAGAGAAATAAAAAAAGATTTCTATAGAAAGATGTCTTTCTGCTTCCAAGGAGAAACATTTTGTGTTGACCATATATATATTTTGTGATGGACAGGAAAAAAAACAAACAATACTTTAATAGTTCTCATTGTAATCAAAATATGTCTGATCATTCAAATTTAAATAACAAAACTAAAACTGGGTATTAACTTTTGAAAAAGGATGTATAATGATTGTTTATGACAATTGATAATTTACCTTCCTACATTCTCAGGAACAGAAGTATTTGGATCTTGGCCAACCCTACAAATTGGCAAACAACAAGATGATCTAAAACAAGAAATTAGTTAAAGCTTTAAACATAAAATGATTTTTTTTTATGATTTGAAGAACAAGTTATGTCCTGATTTAAAGCTGCATTACATATAAAACTTTCATGGCAAGCAAAACAAGCAATGCACAAAGTGAGAATATTACCAGACAATCAAGTCAATCACCAGATGAATTGTAGACATATGAGCACTTGAGTATGAATTTTTATTAATCTGGTATTTTGATCATTAGCATTTTCTTTCATTTTCACAAATTAGTGATTTTAACTGTTGTTAACAAAGCAAATGTTATAGGTTATTATTCTTGAAAAAATTAACATAAATTAATTGTATTGTGAATTTATAATTTGGTAAAGTCACTATGAATGCAGTTTAATTCTCTTAAACGTACAAATTATCAGTTACTTTAAAAAGGGCAGAAGACAAAAAAATTGAAATTGAATTTTTAATAAAATGCTTCGCTGGGCGCAGCTTGATACGACCGCAGAGGTCGAACCCTGAACAGTTGGGGCAAGTATGGACACAACATTCAAGCTTGATACAGCTCTGAATTTGGATTGTGATTAAATATTTGACACAGCATAGGTTTCTGACACAGAAAGAATGTGGTCTAAGAACTTGAATTTTTTTAATTTACCTATTATGGTCCAATGTCCAAAATCAAAATACATGGTTAGATTCAGCATATCAAAGAACCCCATATATTCAATTTTTGTTGAAATCAAACAAAGTTTAATTTTGGACCCCAACTTGGACAAACTTGAAAACTGGGCCAAAAATCAAAAATCTAAATACATGTTTAGATTCAGCATATCAAAGAACCCCAAATATTCAATTTTTGTTAAAATCAAACAAAGTTTCATTTTGGACCCTTTAGACCTTAATGTAGACCAATTTGAAAACTGGACCCAAAATTAAAAATCTAAATACACGGTTAGATTTGGCATAACAAATAAATAAATGTGGTCAAATATTTTACAAATCTAATGCGCCATACTGTGCATTTAAAGATTACTTCTTGAAATTTTTCAATATTTGAAATTTGAAAAAATAATGATATTTGAAGAATAATTCTTTTTAATTTCTGAAATCTGAAATGAGAAAAAATTGACCCCCCACAATTTCTTTTTACCCCCCCCCCCCCCTTTTTTTCCCCAAAAAATTCTTTCCCTCAAGATATGGTCATAATCTCAATTCAAATTACCAATGGAGTTTGCAACCATAATTACCCATTTAAATTTACCATAGTGCTTACTTAATCTATTTTATAATAGAATTTAAAAGATTTTTATTAATCTGGTATTTTGATCATTAGCATTTTCTTTCATTTTCACAAATTAGTGATTTTAACTGTTGTTAACAAAGCAAATGTTATAGGTTATTATTCTTGAATTCAGAGAGATCCATACACCATTCCACAGTTATTGTCTGAAAACAAGAAAAAGCTTATTTTTGGCCCCTTTTTGGCCCCTAATTCCTTAACTGTTGGTACCATAACCCCCAAAATCAATCCCCACCTTCCTTTTGTGGTATTGAACCTTATGGTAAAATTTCAAAGAGATCCATTCACTTAAACTAAAGTTAGAGTGCGAAAACCAATGTGTCTTCGGACGACGACGCCAGACGACGACGACGCCGGACGACGACAATGCCAACGTCATACCAATATACGACCACAAAAATTTTTTGCGGTCGTATAAAAATACAAACAGTGAAATAATACTAAATTAAATCAAATAGTATCCCAATCTTTAATTTCATATATTTGACAACTTTAAGAGTTTCAATTTGGTCAAGTTGGTAAAAAAAAAAATTGGGTTGAATAAGATCACCTTTTTTTTAGAATCTGAGAACAGTCTAAGACATACTCAGTTCTTGGAAACTGCAGAGATATGGTAAAAAAGCCATCCAAACTTTCAAAACAGAATATCAATTGTCAACTTATCTCCTCAATTAGCGACTACTGCAGATCTATGTTGCCTGGCAGTTTTAAGTTCTTTTTTCTAAATTAACTAAACTAGGCCTACAAGTTTTACTTACCCAGATTCTGTTGAACGATTTTTTCCATCTGAAATTAAGAACAAATAGTATTTTACATAAATTTTTAACTATACATTAAACCTATGATATTGCCAAGTTTGCTGAACATGGGGTTAAACACCAACAATCAATCAATCATTTAAAAGCAGTTATTTCAAAGATTAACACAGTACTTCCACATGTTTCATGTATACTGAAATCATGTGTTTATATCACCTCCTTGTTAAAGAAGCAACATGATTTATTAAGATAGCATACAGATGTGAACACTGATACATGTATACACACTGAGTGATTGACACAAACATGCAATAACTTATCAATGAACAAGAACAAGAGAACTCGTGATGGACACAACAGATACTTGTTCAGGTGTAAATGCATAGGTGGCATCTAGCTGGGCCAATATAAATCCACTTCAAAGTATTCTTTTTATTGAAGTTGTTTAAAAATTTTGAAGATACATCCAAAAAATCCCAAACATCCACAAATGTTTTAGTTTTTAATTTTTTTGGTCATGCATGTACGACAAGTACAAGAAATTTTACTTAAAGTACGTTCTGCTACCTATGAGACTGAACAAGGCATATTCAACCACTGAAAAAAGAGTTTAGAAACAAAGAATTCTTTACAAAATTGTATAAACGTTCTAAAGTGGCTTAACTACATTTATACTTATATCTGTTGCAAAAAAAGTAAAATAACAGAAATACCGAACTCCGAGGAAAATTCAAAATGGAAAGTCCGTAATCAAATGGCAAAATCAAAAGCTCAAACACATCAAACAAATGGATAACAACTGTCATATTCCTGACTTGGTACAGGCATTTTCTTATGTAGAAAATGGTGGATTAAACCTGGTTCTATAGCTAGCTAAACCTCTCACTTGTATGACAGTCACATAACATTTTTTTGTACTAGATAAACATTAGAAACAAAATTCATGAAACTTGGGAATGCAAATAGAACTAGAAACAGATTAAATGAATTATGACATTCAATAAGTACTCACAGCTTCAAATGCTTTGTCTAGTTTAATTTCTTTTGATTGTTACTACATGTAGTAGCCATTTTTGTTTTATCACATTTCTTTTATATGAATAACTTTCATGATTTTGATGTACTAAGGTGCTCTAGATAGAGCATTATATGATAAATTTTTATTTGAATTATGATGATGTAATTCTTGTATTGAAACTCCACTTAAAGGTCTAATATCAATTTTTCAAGGTCAATTTCATTAAGTTATCTACTCACACACTTGCTTAAGATAAAAGTCTAAAATTACAGCTCTTGATATTAAGATATCAATATCAAATTGAACTATGTCTGTGTTTTATATTTTTGTAGTATAGTGTAACCAACCATTTACCATATCAGTATAGCATATAAACAATATTCAAGATTTTTAGATACCAGTTTGCTATAAATAATATGAAAATATCTCATACTAAATCCACTGAGTTAGCTGCCTTTAATAAAAAAACACAATATCAAAATCTGCTTAAGTTGAGGACTGACAGAACATGCAAGTTAACAAGACATCAAGCTTTTTGGTGTATTATTAAATTTATTTAGTTGAATTTCATTTTCTGTCGTCTTTAATCTCCATGTTGCATACACTTCAACATGTTCAAACAAAAAATAAAAGAGAAGACTAACCAACAACAATTTTGTCTTTACACAAACTCCTATCAGTAATACTTAGTTACAAAATTGATTTTTAAAGTATAATTGCAACTTAGATTTGCTGTTTTTTGAAGATTTTTATAAATGATCTAAAAATTAAACATTTCTTCAGTTTTCCTTTTCTGATAAGCGATCCTCAACCACTATTGGCTAGCTTAATTTCATTTAAACATAATGTAAATTCAGAAATTATTGCAAGGTTTTCATTAATGCTAATAGTGCATCTGGGTTAGTATCGCAATAATGAGAACTCGCATTCTGATATCTGATATATGCATCTGAATGCAGAATTTCCTTAAATCGCAATAATTAATCTCGCATTATTGTCCATTCTTCATCAATCACAATAATAAATGCACACATTAATTTTTGAATTTACAGTAATTGAAATCTTACCTTAAACTGACAAGCTTACCAGAACTAGGAGGTAAGCTACTACTGTGGATTCATTATTGTTTGTTGGATAACAATTTTTGTTGATTTCGTGGGAACAGGTGAATCGTGAATTTAAAAGTTTTCTGAATGACAAATTTTCTATAAAGTTGTATGCATACTTTGGCAAAACCACTTAATATCAATTATCAACGAAAATGCAAGCTTTCCTCAATCCACGAAAATTGGTATCTACGAAAATAAATGAATCCACAGTAATTATTTCCTTCTGAAAATCAATTCATGGGGTTAATTCTTTTCCTATCTTTCATTACAATCATGCCTCTTGAAATTTGATAATAAACTATCAGAATGTGTATCAAGTCTTCCAACATGCATAATCAAGACATTGAGAAAGGCAAATCAAGTCAGTTCTGACCAACAGGAAAAAGGCATAGTATAGATTAAGTTTTCACCATTTATGTGTGTAAATGAAGTCAGGGTTGACATTTTAATGTGTCATCTTTAATTACATTCCTCTTGAGACATCAAATTTATTTAGAAGCAAATGTGTGCATTAAAACATACATTTCCGTCATCCCTGTCTGATAAAAGTATTAGCTTTGAAAATCCTTGTCGGACATGGAAATATTAGTAATGTGATAATTTATTTAAATTCTTGCTAATACGTTGCTTCTAGTATATATTCAATGCAGGACATACATTTCTGTCATCCCTGTCTGATAAAAAACCTTGTCAGACCTAAAAATATTAGTAATGTTTCAATTTATTGAATTTCTTGCTTATACAGCTACTAAAATAAAAATCAATGCAGGAACTTTTTCTTAGTTATGATATATTCTTAGTGAAATAACTTACTATTTAAACTAAATAGTGCCTAATAAATGATACACTGTGTGATCTTCATCAAAATACAAGGAGAAAACTTGACAGTGAACGCAAATTGGGGATGAAAACAGTAATTCTTATTTTCAGGCAAGATCTTCCAGACAGCTTATAATTCAACCGGTTAGGTTAGAATGAAAAAAAAATTGAAATTGAGTTATCTCTCTGTCTGTGGTATTCAAAAGGGTAGCAATGTATATGGCCTTTGTTAAATTTAATATTCAAAATTATACAATCGAGTTCCAAGATTTTAAAAATATTTTTGGATAATATATCATCTCTCAGCATCAATTATGATCCTAGAAGCCATTAAGGTTCAATTGCCACCGAAGCATTCTTGGAATTAGTTCATAATCTCACAGGGTCACAGAGAGGCTTTCTGCATACTTTCCAAATTTTTGAGTGTTCTTTTTAGAACATGCATTTTCCAGAAGAGTTATTTTGCCAATGTGCAGTTGCTGCAGGAAAAAGGGATATTTTTGCTGATGGAGAGGAAAATATGCTGTTATATCTTTTTATTTGATTAGTGGTTACTATCAATAAAAGTAATCATTTTCATCCTGTAAATTAACATTGAGTTTTGGATTGTTTGTTGTTTGACAACAGTAAATTAAAACTCCTGGATTTACTTTTCAAATTGTAGAGTTTTAAATCCACTTCTCTACAAATGAATTGTTTCACAATTGGCTTCTGAATTGCTAAGTGAAGTAAATCAATTTCATTAACTTTTAAATTGCTAACGACTCATAAACAAGATATATAGTATGGTAAACAAGCATTGAAGCAACATTAACAAAGGATAACAATTTCTCTTACCTTATGACGCTCCAAGTTTTGTACAAGATAAAATAAAACAGTTAAACAATATCCCAACCAAAAAAAATCCTCCGTTTGACAAAATAAAATTAGATTTTTTTCTCACCAAGTGTTAAAAAGAATATTTTTTTTCAGGAATATTATCATTAGAGAATATGTATATGTCATAAAATTTAATTACAAGTTATTTTGCGGTTTATTTTTTATCCAGATTATGCCAGCACAGTCTGCTGTCTTACTGCATTTAAGAAATTTATCTTTACAATGACTTGTTATTTGTCTTATTGACTTTTTCTTCCAGTAAAAATAAAATTTAATGAATAAGCAGCATTATTGTGGCATATTTAATACTTTACATATTAATAATTTTAGAGTACTCACCTAATTGGATCAACAAAAAAATTCCACATATGAAAAAGCTATAAGCATTTAACGTTTTATGGTAAAGAATCATTGTCTGTAACCATCAGCGTGCAAATTATAAATCTAGTATGATTCAAAGGCAAGCGTATATGAGAGTTTTACAGAACACAGGTGAATCAATTTACTGTACACCAATTACACATTCAAAGACTTTATTATAACTGACCTCAGTTTCCAATTTCCCACCGTTGACCTAATAATGTTTGCAAAACATTTACTTCTTGTCTCTGAGGTAAAATATTTTCATTTGCAATAAAAAAAAAATATACAGAAAAATGCTTTATTTCCTGCACTGACAAAGTCAAAATTCCTGTATTTAAATCACAAGCAATCTAAAGGTATCAAAGAACATATAAACCATAAACCTTGAACAATAAAGCTATCCTTCCAGTGGAACTAATACCAGTATCTGCACCATGTTCAAACGCAACTAACTGTCAGCTAAATCTAAGGTAACAAATTGTGTATCTGTCTCCTCTTAATTAATATTATACCATAATGGAAACTTATTTCAACTAGTTTTGTGATCTTGATCTTGCAGACCAGCATCTAAACCTTATAATTTTTTTTAAAATCCTCTGGTTATATGTATCAATAATACCAAGTCTCATTTATACACATCAATGCATTCAAATGTTATCATAAAATGAACCCCTCATGATTTTGGATATAGGTATGTTAATTTGAACGAAAATTCTTGACCTGTTAACACAAGACATTTCTAATTTTACCTGCAATACAGCCTCCTTTGGATATATTACTATTCTTAAGCTATTCACAAATTGTGAATCCTTCATGAATTTATGTTTGTACATAATTTTGTGTAACTAATTCTGTGACCTTGAACTTGACTTCAATCACCTTTACCTTGAAGACTA